GGACAAAATTCAAAAAACCAACTGTTGACTCCTGTCAAAATGTACCTAATGTTTGTCAAGCCTGGTTAGGTTTAAGGTGATTATTTTAGCACAGATTATGTAATATAGTAAAATTAGCTTTCTTCCGCGCTTTGCTCGCATGAATGACAATATTTTCCATTAATTTTTCCTTCATTAGAGAGACTATAATCTATCGCCTCCATGCCAAAATTATATAATCCTTTTAAGCTTAAATCGCATACAACTCATTTCTATTTATAGAATTAACGTTCATTAGTTTTCTTCTAACCAGAACTAAAATGAAATGATCATAATCCAGTTCAGTTTCGTCCCTGTGCCTCATTTTCAGGTCTTTGTTACTCGCAAAATGATCGCGAAAAATCAAGAGATGTACGAATAGAGATTGTAACAGAACCGCATGGGTATGAGTGCCTATGCTTTGAAATGGTATTAAATAATATTAAATGTCAATTTCAATAAACAAAATTGACAGTACTCCTTGGTCGGTAGGTACAGTGGCGCCAGATACGTCTTATAATAGCCCAAGGCCAAGCGGCGCGTGCTTTGATTCCCCTTTTTTATTTAAAAAATAAAAACAACTTATAATTGCAGGCATTAGACCGTTTTACGTATCCCAGGGGTTAATTGTAGGCGGCTGGAGTCTGGGTGACTAAAACGCGTAAAAAGTTTTTATTCAGACTGGTTTTGGGTGTAGTGATGATGTACCGAAATTTTTATTTTATTAGTAATTTAATAAGTGGCTGTCTGCTGTTTCGTCTCCCTCTTTGCTAACGAATGAAATTGTTACAGAAAATTTAAAAGTTGTGTTATTATATGTGAGGAGAAAAAATTTAGAAGTTATAGAAAGGTAAGTATTTATGTATTGAAAGAAAAGTCTTGTGCGCTTGAGTATACCTTGCAATGCCAAAAAAACTCCTTTCTTGTTAAAAAACAAACAGACGGGTCACTTGATGGTAAGTGACTACCGTCGCCTATAGACACCTACACTCAAGAGATACGCGTTACCACCACGTTACTTGTGTGAAGAATTATTTGGAAGGGGAAAGCCCAACCCTCCCCCTTTCATCTTATTTTGGTGGTAAAGTGGGTAGCATAGTATCTAATTTGAAAAAAAAAGGATATAAGTATTCTATCAGTCAATCTAGCTTTCATAGTTTGAAACTAGATGGTGTTGTGTGTTATATGTCCTAAAAATATTATTAAAATTATCACTGTCAATCGCTGTTCCCACTGCTCGCACACTATCTTTGTACCCTCATTTGCATTATACTATGACCTAGGGCTACCGTCAGATACTATTCTGCATCTTAATCCCGTTATCCGTTTATCCACTTGATCAACCGTTGCTCAAATAGTACTCAGGAATACGATATTCGCCATTGTTGTTGTTGTTGAAATTTACTAATAAACGTTTAAAAAAATATCATCGACTACAAAGCTTAGCTGTATTCTTTAATTTTCGCCCCTATGATCGGTACTTTTTTTCCAATTTGAATTAAAACGGGAAAAATCTCGGTTCGTAAATGACGGTTATGCGGTAGAAAACAAAAAAATACAACCGAAAACGTCTATTGTTTTAAGTAGATTACAAATAACCATAAATTAGTGCTTGTTTCAAGAACAACTCTTATGTAGGAGTTACGAACGAGAAGAAATTTAGAGTCGAGTCTTAATACTCGTTGTAGAGTCATCTTCCACGTACCTTCTGCACATAATATGAGCTAGCTAGACCGAAGTGGACAGGAAACCGGGGCAGAGCAATTCCTTTTTTGTATTTCACCGAGTGAGTGAGTTTACCGAAAGCCCTCAATACTGGGGAGGAAAGAGCAGAAAGGAGGTGTCTCTTGAATTGCAGCAAGGAATACGTCTTCTCGTTTGCCCCCCTCCGCCCCACCCCTATATTAAACGACAAACAATTTAGCGCTTATGTCAAACTTTTTTTTGATTATTTTTTTAAAATTAGTGCTGTCTGCATAGTTTATTGTTTATTCCGCGTTATTATTGATACTACAAAACAATAAAGTATACTACATTCATTAGCATCGTTTTTAGGTAAAGAAAAAAAAGAACAAGTTTTTTCCAAAGCGGGTTCCAGCGTGATCGAGCTATAAAATTCTGCACCTTCTTTGCGAATCTTGTAACAAAAGCAGTATAGGTATACCATGCCTATTTATCTACTGAATATGGTCTGGTATTATTTTTAAAAGACAACTCCCGCACTAGGAATAGTGCCTGTGTCGCGGGCGACTTTACAAACATACATGAAACGGACACAAAGTACACCCAGACTCAGAACAAAAATTTTTGGATCACACAAACTGTTGTCCCATGTGGGGTTTGAACCCACAACACTCGATGTAATAGGAAGCGGCGTGGCGACCGCTTAAACCACTACGCCATCCGTGCAGTCAATCCACTTATCGTTATCAAAGTGCGTTATCATATCCACGCTTATTTATTTCTTTCGCTCATTCACCAAGTTGAGATTTAACGGGACTTCAAACTTTTAATTAGAGTTATTGATCAATTTCAAGAAGATAGGTTTTAGCTCACCTTGATAAGCGAACTCAATTATTAAAGTTTACAGTTTCAAGCGTACTAGTACAACACACAATTATACTTTATAATCTTAGGAACATCGATCATTTGTTTGATCGTAGCTTAGAACTTACAGATCCTATGGGTACACATACCTAGACAAATATAACCTTAATATCAATAATTAGGCTCAAAATAATTCATTTTATAAACAGACAAAACAAAACCGATAAAAAATAAACCGCAAGCCCGAACAAAGTCAAAAATCACCTCCGGCCAGACGTATCATTACCAAAAGTCGAGCACGCAATTTCTTAAAAAACTATTTCTTCGAAATCTCTAATTTACCGAAAAAACTGTATCATTCAAGACCCTTTTCTATATTTTTTTCTCTTTATCCTACAAACGCGTGACTTTTGAGTGACTGTTTTTCGCCTGAGGCCAACGTTTCCAAACGCAAGTGCGGTTTAAAAAAAAATCAAAGATGGCGCCGACCGCTCGCGTGCGCGCCTTTTCGGCGAGCAACGCTTTAGAAAAAAAAAATCATTCAGACTTTTACCTGTGACGTGTCGGTAACTCCAAAGTGCTATCAAATAGACGAAGGTTAGGATAAATTATAGAAAGTAGAAAATAATAAGTTATTCCTACTTAAAGTATTTATTTTGAAGTGCCTACCATCATATTGTATTGTGAAATATAACTTCTTCATAGTATATATATAGGGCTCAAACGAGAGTACCAGGGATTTACTTTCTAGGGTACACCTGTTTTGACTGTAAATGAGAATGAGGTAAATGAGATTTCTGTAATGAAGTCGCGCAATTTTTTTTTATTTCTTATTTTATGACGACGTCTGACATTTATTTGTATGTCAATGGATTATTGCATTTACTATGTGAAAAACAATTCGTTTATAACACATAGCTAGGTATTTCCATAAAATTGTTATTAGATTTTGTGTAAGGAAAGTCTGACAATCTACATATGTACTTATGTATTATTATGACACTTAGTCTAATCATATTTAGATACTATACATAAGTATATAATAATAGACGACTGGATGGCGCAGTGGTTTGTGTAACGGACTGCTATTACAAAGTCAAATTTGTGTGCATGAACATTTAATGTTTGATTTGGTCTGGGTGTTTCTATGTATTTACAAAAAGAAAAGTAAGTATATATGTATTTATATCAGTTGTCTAGTACCCATAGTACAAGCTCTGCTTAGTTTGGGACTAGATGGCGTGGTGTGAATGTGAAAAAAAAAAGTTTTAATTAGGGATTATATATATCCTTTTAGTATTGGCATTCGGTATAATGCTTATAGATAATAGTCGTATCCATCGTGTGTCTGTCTGGTAACTCTTCACGCTTAAACCGCTAAACCGATTTAGATGTCATTTGGTATAGAGATAGTTTGAGTACTGGGAAATGACACACGATAGTTTTTATCCAGGAAATCATTATTGAAGGGGTAGAAGTTTGTATGGGAAATCAATAACCACTGAACCGATTTCGATGAAATTTGGTATGGCGATCGTTCGATTTTTGAGGAAGGACATAGGCTACTTTTTACCGCGATAACTGATACATAGAATAATCGTTAACTAATCGCATCACTAAGTACAATAAATAAACGATCAATTAAATGTCTTAAGTGTAAACTATATAATATAATATCTTTTCATATAAATTTCTAATTCTATGAGAAATAAAGTTTAAGCGCCTGCAATATTAATAATAGCAATTGGCATTCCAACAACTACCACTACTTAACTTACAAGGCGCTTGGTTTGATAACAGAATACTATACTCTTAGAGGTACAAATATTATTAAGTAAACAACGTCTAATTTTAATTTAATTTGATGAAAATCAGATAAAATATCATATAAAATTTGTAAACAGTTTTACATCTTAACTTTCGCATTTCAGCTACATGGAGGCGTCTCTGACTCGTCTTCTTTATTGGTCAACACTCACATCCATAGGAAGGTAGGACAGTAGGTTTGGTGATCGTTTTGTATATTTGACCCTTTAATATAATAGGAAACTTGGGATCGCAAATAGTTCCTGCTACGTGCCACCACATTTTGTCAATCCTGTATAGATTCGATGCTGTACAGATCTATCTCTTTTGCCATCATTTTCTAAGAGTGAAAATAGGTGTTTATAATCGGTGCAGACTGGAATCGTTGTTCCATTCAGTGAAATATGGTTTGGACCGCCGAACTGGTACTTAAATATTTATGAAGCTAGTGTTTGTATCTCCATGCTTTATTCTCCAACCATAGACTAAGAAACGCTTTTAATGTACGGTTTGACATTTTTCAATAGTCAACAGTGTCACAATTACACAATAGTTCACAACACAAAACATCAAAATCTATTTAGTTTGCCGGTGCAGCATTATATTCTGTTTTTCTTTTTAAAAATATAATGGCTGCTCACAATATTTTCAAATTGGGAGCTCTGGAAGCTCATAAAACAGCGTTCTTGCTATGTGATATACAGGAAACTTTTCGACCTCATATCAAACATTTCGGCGATGTTGTAAAAGTAGCGAATAAAATGGTATGTACATGATAACGTTATGTAATTGTATTCTTACCTAGATATACACATTGTGGGAAATCTGTGTTAATGATCATATCTATAATATTTATTTATTTTAAACTACATTGGCGGACTTAATGCCCAAAGCATTTTCTTCAAGTTAACCTTTGGGTGGTGTAGAAATCTTTTACGGTAGGTGGACAGAGGTTACAATATGGTAATGGATTATGTAATCCATGAAAATATACACAATCCATTACATACATATATCTATACTAATATTATAAAGCTGAAGAGTTTGTTTGTTTGTTTGTTTGTTTGAACGCGCTAATCTCAGGAACTACTGGTCCGATTTGAAAAATTCTTTCAGTGTTAGATAGCCCATTTATCGAGGAAGGCTATAGGCTATATATCATTACGCTAAGACCAATAGGAGCGGAGCACCAATGAAGAATGTTTCAAAAACGGAGAAAATTTATTACCATTGAGAGACGCAGACGAAGTTGCGCGGGTCAGCTAGTACATAATAATAGTACATGTTGAAAATATAAATGCAACAGTAATTAGCCTCTGTTGTTATCACAGCTAAAGTGCTAAACGAACTTTGATACACTTTAAGGTATCATTGCAAAAGTATTTAGCTATTTTCTATCGAAGCCAGCCACCTGCCTCAAACAACACTTCCATGGGAATGTTATCATTTTTTTTGTGAAATGGAGAAAGATAGTGATTAACAAAAATGGATGGAGATTAAGGGATAGGACAAGGTCTCAGATAAGAAATGGAACTAAGAAAGATAGGCATAATGAGATTACATTTATCTTTACAGATATGGTAATATTTTTGGTTTAATGTAATCAAGCTCTCAATAACAGAGTTGTATTAGATTTTCACTCACTTCACTTTAACTAAGAAGAAGAAAGAAAAATAAACATCTATCGAGTCCAAACACTATGGAATTATGTTTAGTAGATAATATGTTCTTATGGTCACCTCAGCAATCCATCCATTAGACATTGGATAACATATACAGTGGACACCCCTTGGTTTTATCCTCTAAGCCCTGGACACCATCTAGGTCTATAAAACATGTTACCTGTACAAAAGAGCTACACCATTTGAATTAATAATTGGATTAAACTTTATTTTGTACATCACATGTATTCAATTATAATTCAATAAAATTGTAGATTGTTAACGTCAGGCACAAGACCTATGGACCTTGTCTCTGGTACCCCGGTAGAGGATACCAGAGACAAGATGTCACAATGCATTTAATTGTGTGTCCAAAAAGAATGTAATTGCGTTTCATGGCAAGCATTGGCAAGCAGAGGAACACCAGGATGGTTTTTAGTTGGTAATAGTCCCGACAGACCATTTAGACCAAAATGGGTGAAGAACATCTATTAGGATCTTCCATCCCACATTCCATATTGAGGTCCTATTTTCTGCAACAGGCCCTTAATCTAGCGCCTTAAGGGTCTTAATATTTATACAAATAAATAAAATTCAAGTGTCTGTATGTAATATCATCATAAAAGGATTTTTTCATGCTCACATGGTCTGTCTGAATGTTTGTTCCGGGTAACCTTTAAATTGGCTGTAACGATTTTGCTAATATTTCACTACCAGGTAACTGTCTATTTAAGTAGAAACTCGGCTATTTTTCCTCTTAGAAAAAACCTAAAAGATTTTGCTTCGTTTGGCAATCAAACCTGAGGCCGCATGGACTGCAGTTGCGTACCGTAGTACAGCACTAAGGCAGTGCTTTTTAAAATGTGTACAATGAACAAAATCGCAGATACCAGCTAGTTAATACTAAATTTCTATTCAAAATATTCCAGATACAAGCTGCGAAGCACTTCAAAATCCCTGTATATGTGTCAGAACAATATCCTAAGGGGCTTGGCCACACAACAAAGGATATCAACATTGAGGATGCAGCATTGGTCTTTGAGAAGACCACATTCTCCATGTTCACCCCAGACTTGCAAAAGAAGTTGAAAACAGATATCCCAGAGTTATCTTCTGTAGTGTTATTTGGTATTGAGGTAATTCACTTTTGATAATTTGTTGATAGTACCTTCAGCTGTAATGGAGGTGCAGATATCTGTATGTCGTGTATATACCTATGTAATTATGACTGACCTTGGTCTAGTGGTTAGTAATACTGACCGCTTGCTTTATATCAAGGACAAATAATTGTGTGAAAAGCATAGTCATTCGTTCTGTGTCTGTTTGTAATTTATCTATAACATGTATGTATGTAGAGACTAGCTGACCCGCGCAACTTCGTCTGCGTCTCTCAATAGTAATAAATTTTCTCCTTTTTTGAAACATTCTTCATTGGTGCTCCGCTCCTATTGGTCTTAGCGTGTTGATATATAGCCTATAGCCTTCCTCGATAAATGGGCTATCTAACACTGAAAGAATTTTTCAAATCGGACCAGTAGTTCCTGAGATTAGCGCATTCAAACAAACAAACTCTTCAGCTTTATAATATATGTATGTAGAGATATGTAAGCATGTTTGTCAGCAGTCTGGTAACTGTAGTACATTGGGATCAGAACACTTATTAATAATACCAACTTTACTGCATTTCAGTCCCACGTCTGCATCGAACAAACTGCAATTGATCTATTAAAAGAGGATATTGTTGTACATCTGTTGGCTGATGGAATATCGTCCAGGTCTCTGATGGATAGAGGACTTGCTCTCCAGGTTGGTAACAATATTTTTTTAACCGTTATATCTTTCATAATGCTTTCCTGCAATCTGTGGATGAGATTTCCTTAAAAGAGACGATACTGAGTAACAGGGTTGGGAAACGCACGCTATTTGATTTGACCAATGAGCTTGCGGTGCTAGCGGTCTGTCAGATGGTAGGTAAGATGTCAGATCCTGGTTTGGGAACATTATGGTGTTCATATGTGATGCCTCAATGTCCCGAGACAGGCCAGCCAGAAAGGCGTATCTTCGAGCCTGGAGAGGACGGCGAGCTACAGCCGAGGAGATCGGCGTCGCATGGCGGGAATATGTAGCTGCTGTAAAGACTCAGCGATGCAATCGCTGAGGCCTAAAAAGAATTCATCGGGGGACTAGAGACATAGGGACCCATGGGGGCGCACGTACAAAATTCTACTGGGCAAGCTAAAACCACGGGTCCCTCTATTGACGGAAACCCCTGGACCCGGAGTTCCTGGGAAGAGTGGTAGACACGCTATTCCCAAGGGTCCAAGACAGTCCCTTAATCGCCCCCTCACAATCTGACTAGTATGGGTGACGAAGGGGGTTCTGGACCGAGTCGTGCGGCGGCTGGCTTCCCGGACCTGATGGTATTTCATCTCCACGTCGGAGTCGACAGTCCGATCAGGGGGGGGGTGGCGTTGGCAGTTAGCCTTGATATCGGCGACCCCTCCCCTGGCAGGCGATAAGGGATTGAATTTCATGAGGTGCCGCTCTACCTGCGTGCCGTCATTGGGGCCTATCTGCGCGACAGGACAGTGAAGTTTATCGGTCGGAACGGGGTAGAAAATCGGAGAGAAGTGTTGCGGGGTTCCCCAGGGCTATGTTTTGGGACTTTTGTTGCGAACCTCGCATATAATGGGGTCCTTCGCACCAGTCTGCCCTCTGGCCTCAGTGTCGTCTGCTATACTGACGACACTTTTATACTGGCTAGAGGGTCACACTTCGATGAGATGCTTTAGGTCGCCGAGCAGGGGGTGGCTTGTGTCGTGGGAAAGATTCATGAGTTGGGATTGAGAGTGGTGCCTAAGAAAACCGGGGCGATATGGTTCTATGGCCTACGTTAGTGCCAGAAACCACCCAGCTTATGCCTCCGGGTAGGTGACGCTGAAGTCCAGGTGGGCCAGTACATGAAGTACTTAGGCCTCATCCTGGACAGTCGGTGGAGCTTGGAAGAGCATTTCGAGCGTGTAGTCCCCCGAGTACAGGGAGTAGCGGGTACACTGCATCGCCTGCTGCCCAAGCTCGGGAGACTACGGGAAGAAGTTCGCTGCCTCTACATGGGTGTAGTGCGTCCATGGTCTTGTCCGGGCACCCATCTGGTCTAATCCTAAATCTAATAATAAAACCAGCGTATGCTTGGGCCAATCATCATTGTGCATACCTTCAATTTTGGCGAGGCATATACTATACAGGGCATTTCAATGATTGAATGAATTATCATAAAAGCAGCAGCGGCCACGCGATGCAATGGTACCATTATTATTGTAGTATGTAGTCTGGATCGATCATAGTATGCCACGAAGGACTCGAATAGGGTTATTTTCTCAGCCGAGACATGCGTTGTGCGTTGTTCGCGGCACACGCGCATTGAGAGTGTCTGGCTACGTCCACACGTACGCTTTGATCGTGGAGCGATTGCCGCGGTACACTGGTTCGTAGCACGTGCCTCGCCACGACTATAAACTTCGACACATTACGAAGCATTCGATGAGCATCGTTCACTGCACATGCCTCGCAATGTCTGTGTCCGCCTTTAGATAAACAAGATACTCAATGTGGGCTGAATAGCCCTCTGCCTAACCCATTATATACGTAAGAATATATTTTAATAAGAATAAACGGTTTTACTTACGGTGAATTAAATTTAATTCATTAATTCAATTCATTCATTCATTCCACTCATTCGTTAATTCAATTCTTTCATGTCTCTTCTTTCCGTTCTTCCAGCGCTTGCGATCACTAGGCTGTTTCGTAACTACATCAGAAAGTGTGCTGTTCAAGCTTCTAAGGGACAAGAAACATCCAGCATTTAAAAATATATCTAAATTAAACAAAATACCGACCAAAGATACTTTAGGTTTCGATAATCTGGCACCTGGTTCTAAACTATAAATGTATATCGAAACTATTCTAATTACTGAACATTTGTAATAAAAAAAGATGAATAAGTCAAAACTGCTGATAACATACATATATATACATACATACTAAATATATTAGTAAACACTCGGATACAGAAAAAAACAATCATGCACATTATTTGTCTAGGGTGGGAATAGGGTAGATTTCTCCCTAGGTTTAAAATAAATTATTTCGCCCTCATAATTAAATGTAACATCTTGAAGTACAGCTTAAATTGTTCTCCATCTTCAATTTAATATTTGTATTAATTTCACATCTTGATCTCAACATTGAATATAAATGATTTCACAATAGCTAGGTATGACGTCACGAAATAGTATTTCATACAAAAACGCCTAGCGTTTTGACAGTAAAAAAAGATACTGATTTGACTTGACAGTCATCCACCTATTGAATCGTTTGCCTCTGCAGACAGGGCCAGTCAATTTGTATGTATAGTACAATAATAACTCTAAAACCACTAACGCAATTTATGTGGTACATTTTTAAAGTGAAAACTTAGCTAGGCGCGTTGGATATTTTTAAACAACAACCAAAAAAAATATTTTTTGAGATGGGAAAATAAACATTGAAAAGTATCTACATATATTGGCCCCGTTAACACGAGAGTTGAGTTTAGGTTGAAATACATCGAAAATATAAATATATATAGTATAAACATATATTGTATACGTACAACATAGATATATATTCATGTCGGAAGTTTTCGAATCGAAAAAAAAAACAAAAAATAAAACACTTCTTTCGGCACTCCCGGAGTGCTTTTTCCTTTCCTTATTTCCCTGTTTCTACTTATTAGTTCATTAAATTCCATGTTTCATGGTTACGGGATACAATTATAGCTTATGGGTTATGTAGTTGAGGCATCCGTTTTAATACCTTTGAAAAAAAATTGCTTATCCGGTTAAACTGAGTCTTCGTGATGTAAAAATTTCTAGAAGTGCTTTCCATGGTTTCTTTAATAATTCTATAGAACATAAGCAAGTCTATAAATTACATATATGTAAAGACTTAGGCCGGTACCGGAACTGGTCGCGCAACCCCTTAATACATATATTTATTCGTAAAACCTTATCATTAAATTAAATTATTTTTTGTATAAATTTGCAAGAAAGTTTTGTTTGTTTTTTATTAATATGTAAAAAATTACGCATGATAACTTTTTTACTAGAAAATGTAGGTATTTTGGATTTTATGTGTTTTTGCGAGGGTAGGTATGGTAGGGATGCAGGGTAAATTAATTTGTGATATTAAAAAAAGATTTTTACTAAGGCAATTTTATAAGATTTTTAACTCATGTATTTTTTAAACATACTTGTTGTTTCAAATAAAGATTTTTTTTATGTACAAGTTGTTTTTTTTGTAATTTCAGCGTTTTCAAAACATCGGTTGTTTCGTGGGTACATCTGAAAATGTTTTATTCAAGCTGTTGCAAGATAAAAATCATCCTGCTTTCAAGGCGATATCTAAACTTATGGTGGAGCCGACCCCCGATAAGTTCGGAGCAAGCGTTTTAAAAGATAACATCGAACAATAGATTTGTTGAATTTTTTCTTAACTAAGTGAGTATTCAGACGAACTGTGATCCAAAAATTACTTTTATATTTTTTAACAGTATAGGGAAGCAAACGAGCAGACAGTTCACCGGATGGTAAGCGACTACAGCCGCCCATGGGCACTTGCAACTCAAGAGTTACAGAAGCCCTTTGCCTCCCCCTCCTCGGAATCAGGAGAGATGAGGTTTGGGCTCCAGTAACCGCCTCACACCTGTAAAATACCCTTTCAAACAAAAACATATATTTTTAATTCAGGACCTTCACCTTTATTTTAAAATGGTAGGATAAGTAACAATTTTAGCTATCCTCGATATACGATTTCATAAACTGACTGTCAGGGGATAACAATTCCCTTTGTTAAACATCAAACGTTACGTTTTGTAACTCTTGCATGAAATCATATCTTATGACGTCACACGTTACTATCGTTAAATATTAGTGACCAAAGCGGGCCAACGGTCGATTTTGGGAAGTTGTATGTATGCTAATGGGCTTGCGAACTTTTCATATCTTGATAGAGGATTAGCACTTACTATGTAGTTTGGTCAGTTGACCAGTGTACTCGTTTGCTCTCCTACACCACAAAAAAACCATAACTGATAGAGAATTTTAATTTTCAGTTATACCTTTTCGGGTTATCGGAATTCGGAAGTTATAAGAGGTTCATAAAATGCCGGAGACGATAGGATGTTTTTTATCGAAGTGATAAACATTGTGGCCTATTTATTACAAACTTTTACATACCTATATGTATATGTATTGAAAATATATTGTTGTTAATGTTATTAACTTTTCTTTATTATTTAATTCTTTGTTTTCCTTGCATTTATATCCTTAAAGATATTCTCTGGTTTATTGCTATTTTTAGACTGCACGGATGGCGTAGTAGTTTAAGGGGTCACCTAGTTCTTTTTACTACTCTGTGTATTGTGCGTCCGATCCCACACTTAGTGTGATCCACAAATACTTAATTGTTGTTCTGAGTCTGGGTGTCGTTTGTGCCCGTTCGATAGATGTTTGTGAAGTCCCCTGCGACACAGGATATATTCCTAGTGTGGAAGGCGTCGTTTTAAAAATAAAGATATCACATCACACATGTTGAAAAATCATAATTATGGCAGGAAGTAACTTGTCAGTAGATATCGACTTAGTCAACTTCTAACAATACCTACCTATTATAACCATCTGTGGACCGAAGTCTTGAGGAAAGTGGCTGGCAGCAGATGGATGTGGACTGCCCAAGACCGGGATCGTCGGCGCTCCTTGGGGAGGCCTTCGCTCAGCAGTAGACGGCGATAGGCTGACGATGATGATGATTATAATAATCGTTGTTTTTCATAATTTTTTTACCCGTGGAGATGGAATTGTCCGTGTGGTGACAGATTAAGAATACAGTGTTACCACGCCTATACATCCAGTGGGTGTTGTAAGAGACGACTAAGGGAGCAAACTACGCTGGTCAACAGGACTGCAAAGAGAAGGCAAACTCGAAACCGGTTATATGAGCACAGTACCTATAATGAAAAATGCCACTGCACCAATTATAGCTATCACGCCAATTGACCAAGAAGCAAATTATTATTCAATCAAACCTATCCTTTCAACAATGTTTAATTCCGTTTCGTTTTAAATATCAAGTAACTTATTGCCCTGGCTTTCTCACGTTAGAGAATTTGAGATACTACCGAGGCGCTCTGGAGTTGATCTAGTGAGCGTATAACCATAGAACTCCATACAAATAATACTTATTAACCGCTCGAGGCGAGGCTGTGCTATCATTTCGATAAGAGAATCCTAAACTATTTTAGGAAGGAGACCCCTTTTCCAAAATGAACTGATACCTCAGACCCCCATAGTTAAATAACTATAAAAAACCTATCTCTAGTTTTTTTCCTATTGTTACAAAATTTAAAATTAATAAATAAATAAAAAATAAAATAAATTTACCATTTAAAAACTTTGCTGTTGGTAAAGTGAATTTCACATCATTTTCTCATCAATATTTAACAAAATAAATAGACAAATTAGTTAGTTTTATAATAAGTTGGTACACTTAACACAACTTATACGTATCTTGAAAGTTTCAAATAAGAACTTGTTAATTAATAGGGCTCGATTTTCAGACCTTGGTGATCCCCAAAATAAGTTTTAGTTTATGTCGACCCCTCGGAAACCGATTTGGACCTCAAGGGGTCGATATCGACCATATAGATCATCATCTCTTTCGATTCGACATAATAATATTCCAAAACATCATTGCGTTGCCAATTATACTCGGAAGTTTGAATTTAAATAAAATATGATTTTATGCAGATAATACAGTCAATATTTTAATAAGACTTATTAAATAAAATATATTTTAAAGAAATAACATACGGCAGAATTATCTATGGATGTTGTAAGTAACAAAATCTATAATAATTATTAGCACAAAAATAAGATTCTTAAAATGCCAACATATTTGTACCCTAATAACTCCGGTAAAAAACCAGATACAATATTGGTCACAAAATGTTTTATAACTTCCATCCTCAAATCTATTAAAACATAACCTTCCATCTGTCGGTCTAGTGGTGATCATTGTATCCATACAACTCCATAGAAATCTCTACCGTATAAAGTAAATTGGTATTTATTTCAACAGCGACCATTTCAGTTGCTCCTTCGCTGATTGCAATACCTGAAATTACAGAAAAAACTAACATATAGAATTGTATAAAATTTTAAAAAGATATAATGTTCTATCATAATTGATTTAGGTAGATTTCAACATTGGTAATAAAAATTGTTTTCTACTGACATTTTTCTAAAATGATTAGATAATACGTAGTAAAATCTGGTATTTCAATTATGGACATCCAAAATATCGGAATTTTCATGATAGGAAAAATGACTATCATATTGGTGAGTTAAGTTCATTTATTACTGACTCTTGCTAGCAATATTTTTTTTAAGCTTAACAGTAATAAAATAATTGACATTCATGTATTAAAATCTTAAACTTTTAAATGCAAAAACATTCGCAAGCTATATATGTATGTATGTATATTCTATATTTAAATGCACCTAAATTGTTGAAAATCAATTAAGAAGTCGGCTTTTTCTGTATAAATAAAAACAAATACTAGGAAAATAGAAAACCATGAATTCATTCCAGCCAGCTTAACTTAAATAAAAAAATTAAAAACAGGCAATAAAATATTCCAGCCAGCCAAAAATATATATACAGATATATAATATAATATTTTCCAAATTTTCATGGATATAATATACAAAAATAAAACCTAAAAATTAGGTAATATAAGTAAATTAATACAATCAACGTGTCATGTGATCGGTTGTTTTTTTTTTAAATATATTTTATAAAAATGGTTAAAATCATTCAGTACATTATCATACAGTCAAGTAGGTGCTAACAGTGCGTAAGTCAAAATATCAAATTTATAGAATAACAAAAGTACTGTTTCAAAACACTGACAATTCTTCAGGTTAAGATGGAACTGTAACAATATTTTTAAACAGATAACGAGCATTTATTGTCTCAGTTGAAAGTGTCAATAAATCTCATTGATTTATCTATAATATGTATCTATTTAGAAATATATAAGTATGTTTATCAGCAGTCTGGTTACAATAGTACAAGCTGTGCTTAGTTTGGGATCAGACGGCCGTGTGTGAGATGTGAGAGGTTATTATTCTTTTATTAAAAAATATGCGAATCCGAACAGAAATTAAACAACATCAAAAACCGCAAAAATGACTTACGCACTGGTAAAACTTCTCTAAGTACAAGAAGGCCATTGCAAATTGGAAGGTGACTCTACTACGTACTGAATACACCATGTGAATAATTGTATGAAGTTGACTTACGTTTATTTTTCAGATGGTTTAATTTTGTGGGGTATGAGATTACAGAGATAATTAGCATAATATGTACACTTAAGCTAAAGATAAATAGTTTTTTTAAATATATGTAGGGTAGATGTAATTTCCCCATATCAATGTGGCCATCAATTAAAGATAACTATGTTTTCTTTAATCGCCACCCTGTATGATTCTAAACTAATAAGTTACCAGCCAATAAGGCAAGCCAGTCACCAAGCGCAAGTGTAACACACAACACTCTAATAATTCCTTGTGCAGCCAACGTTAAATAGAGTAAAAGAGTTTTTTGCGCAAGAAAATATCAGTGAGCGTTGGGCTTAAAGCGAAAAAGCCAAAGGGTTGCCAATAAAAAAAAATGAAAAAAGTTAGTATATCCAATTTAATAAGCACTAAATGACTACAATAATATGGCGATGGCGTTTAACGCATTGTCTAACTTTATCCCCCAGTTTTTCTTACATATTCATTATGTTCTGTAGTATCTGAAAGTTTTATAAAATTAAATGTCGGTTAAAATGTTCACTTAAATAATTTTATTAGTTATTTAAATATAAAAAAGTTCGGTGAAATTATTATTTTAACTATGATGCAAAAGAATTGCCATATCCCGTTAGTAAATATTTTTTTGAAAGGAGATGTTATAAAATGTATTACAATAATGTATTATTGCCTGATAGGCCCAAAGAGTAGAGAGAATACAAATAAAAACCACAAACGGTTAGCTCAAATATATAATAAAAACAATTTTACAAGACAATACCCCATAATATATTTACAATAAACATCAAAATAACAAATTAACATAAAAAAAACTGTATCAAAAACTTGGCACATTTTTTTAAAATAAAATGCCTATATTAACAATATTTTTTAAACTCATTTAAAGGTATAATTTTCTTCAATATAATTTCGAAAACCCTTTATAATATTTAAATACTTAACTTGGATGAATGAATATTCATGTGGGTGAATTGTTGCCAACAAATAACACTTTGCAACAATTTACCTAGATGGAAATATTCATCTGGGTGAAGCGTTGCCAACGAATAAAACCTTTACAACAATTTACCCCCAATGGATGAATATTCATTTGAGTGAAGTGACACAACAACGCAACAAATTAAAATACCAGCTTAATCTAAATATGGTATAGAAAATAAGTTAAAATGTTTTACATTAAACGACTACTGTATAATTTTATTAGGAGGTAATGATTTGAGAAGGGAGAGTAATTACATTGACCTGCTGAGTACCATAAAAAAGTCATTACAAAAAGTTACTCATACGAATATAATTTTGTGTACGCCCATATACATAAGAGGAGCACTGATACACAATTACAGAGTAGAAACATTTAACCATCTCTTAAATCTAGACTTGCAGAATAATAAGTACGGATATTTTTTCGACAGTAATCTCACTTTATCACTTGATATGTTTTCCTACAGGACTGGTAAAATTAATAGAAGCGGAATGCGAAATGTATATAATAGGATACTTGAAAACATAGTAATAGATCTAGACATATACAAAACAAGTGCGCCTCGGCCTTTACCAGCAGACCAGACACATCCAACGAATGGTGTATATCATGAAAATGATCACTCAATATCCGACCAGTTGTTTCGTGTATAGTCAAATCGTTGTATTGCACCAAAATATAAATGGCCTAATAAGTAAGTCAAATATGTTTGCTGTGTGTTTGGATGAACTGAGCCGTAAGGGTAAAACTGTCGATGTGCTTTGCATTTGCGAACATAATATGAAACCATCTGATACTAATAGATTAAATATCCCCAACTTTAAATTAGCCACTTTTTATTCAAGAACATCCAGACATGGGGGTTCTTGCATTATGGTAAGAACTGGTACTAAGTATAAAGTTATTGATCGAATCATAAATTACAGTGTATCCAATGTTATTGAATGTTGTGGGATAGAGCTGACGGATCATAATATTGTAATAATATGTGCTTATAGGATTCCACAAAATAAGGGTGTAAAGAATAAATTTGCAATATTTCTTACCAGTTTGGAAAATATCCTGCGCCTGTTCTCTTTTAAAGCAAAAAAGAAATGTATAGTGTGTGGTGACTTTAATATTGATACTATAAAAGGTACAACATATTCGCAACAATTTAAACACTTCTTAACAGGTTTCAACATGAAATTAGAAATAAATAAGCCAACTCGTTTAAGCAGTGGTACATGTATTGACAACTTTTTACACAATATGCGAGGATGTAGAAGCGAAATATTGGAACTAGCAGTTTCAGACCACACAGCGCAATTATTACAGTGCCCTGTTTCAAAAAAATGCAAGTTTGACTATTGGTTTACAATAAGACGTAACTATTCTAGGGATAATATAAATAAATTTATTGATTGCATGAATGGTATTGGTTTTACTGAAGTATACGAAGACACGGATGCAAATGTAGCTTTTAATAGGTTTCATGACATATTTTTACACTTTTATAACTTATGTTTTCCAAATATTAAAGTAAAAATACCGACCGCAGTTAAATCAAAATGGATCACACGTGGTATAAAAATCTGTTGTAGGAGAAAGCGTGAATTGCTATGGAAGTACAGACAGCGGCCAACTAAGGAAAATAAGTTAAATTTTAGACTATTAGCTGGCAGACTAAAAAAAATAATCCAACTTACACAAAGGTCACAAAATATAAATTACATAAACACTGCCAAAAGTAAAAGTAAGGCTACTTGGAAAATAATCAACAAAAATAAATATAGATTACCTATTAATAATATTGAAAAAATAAATAACGATAACCAAATTTTGACGAACCCTTCTGACATAGCACAAGCGTTTAACGATTTCTATGTGGATCTAGTAGAAACAAATAATTTACCAAAACAATCACAATTGCAATTTTACGATTTCTGTAACAAATCCTCATCTATGTTTATGCAGCCTACACTTCCTCAGGACATACACCAAATTATACACAAATTAAAAAACACAGCTAGCACTGGATATGACGGTATCAGTACTAAAATTTTAAAAATGGTGTCGGTGCCAATTTCACCTATACTAAGTCATTTGATAAATAACTGTATCACACAGGGGGTGTATCCTGAAAAGCTAAAGATATCACTAGTAAAACCAATGTTTAAAAAAGACGATAAGGAAAACATGAAATCCTACAGACCAATTGCCTTAATACCCATACTGTCAAAGGTTTTTGAAAAAGTGATACACAACAGCTTAAATAATTACTTTGAAAAGAACAATCTGTTTACAGACAACCAGAAAGGATTTAGAAAAAACAAATGTATTGATGTAGCTATTTATGAATTTCTGAAGGTAATTATCACTAGAATGGACAAACGAATGCCAGTCCAAGCACTTTACATGGATATGACGAAGGCATTTGATTACGTCAATCACAGCATACTAATAAAAAAATTAAATGCCTATGGTGTTCGAGGAAATGTGTCTAAACTGCTTGAGTCGTACCTTACCAGTCGCCAACAAGTTACAGTAATTGATAGAATATGCTGTGAGACTAAAACTGAAACTTCTTACAGTTCAAATACTAGGACAATTAAATATGGAGTACCACAGGGAAGTACACTAGGCCCTCTCCTGTTTATCATCTACATCAATGACTTTCCAACCGCTACAAAATTTCCTATGGTACTGTTTGCCGATGATAGCACCGTCGTATTTAATAACGATAATATTAATACCACCAGTTCGGTAATCGAAGAGAATATTATGTCTCTGGTGGGATGGCTTGATTTGAATAATCTTAAAATTAATTTAAGTAAAACGACAATTATGAATTTTGGACAAAAAGAAAATAATACGATGGATATAAACATTAAATACGACAATAAAAGTATTACTGACATTAAAGTAGCATCATTCTTGGGTTTGCAAATTGAAAGTACTCTAAAGTGGCATGCACAAATTGAAAAGGTGTGTGGTAAACTAAACCAATATGCGTATGCACTACACATGCTAAACAAAACCGTTAACCAAGACACAATTCTCGCTGCCTATCATGGCTTGGTCGCATCAACGATAAGATACGGAATTATATTTTGGGGCAATGCAGCGGGTAAAGAATTAGTTTTCAAGTCTCAAAAACGCTGCATAAGGGCAATATGTAATATCTTGGCTACTGACACATGTAAACCATACTTTGTAAAATTAAAACTACTCACAATGCCATCCATTTATATTTTTGAAAGTGCGCTTTTTGTTAGACGAAACTGGTCAAAATTTTCCAAGGTGTCAAGTAACCGCAGAGCTGGTAAGCTACATATGGTTCAAGCTAAAACCGCCCTATATCACAAAAGCATATTTGTCATGGCACCTAAAATCTATAACAAGCTGCCCAAATGTATTCTAAATTCAGAAAATGTACAGTCATTTAAAAATAAATTGAAAGAATTTTTAATATTGAAAGCTTATTACTCTGTTGACGAATATTTCCATGACAAAATAATGTAATATATATTATTATGTAGAATTATTTTAATATTGGCATGCTAATAATGATTTAAAAATTGACATACAGAAAAATTATTTTGTAATTATTTGGACTCAATATTTGTAGACGCATAAATTGTCTTTTCTTCTTTCTTTTGTGATGTATTTAAATTGTAATTATTATTTTCTCCATTTATTATTTGTACACCACGTAATGTGGTAGGATGTAGTGGAACTTTAACATAACATTTAAGATCTGTAACTAACCTATATTCCACAAATAAAGTATTATGAATTATGAATTATGAAAATGAAAAAAAAAAAAAAAAAAAAAAAAATCTTCGAATAGTGTATCTTACTTAATACTTGGATACGTTTTTTGACAACGGACAACTTGACAGACGTTTGCCCTCTGTGTGACAGTTAGTGTACTATAATAATGCTTTATTAGTTTATTTTATATTATTGATATGGCCCACATACAGTTATAATTATCTAATAATTATTTAAACAATACACAAACCAATTTGAAGTGTCGATAGCCATGGATAAATTGACAAAACAAAGAAAATATTATGCAGCTATGTAATAAAAGTCCGCAGATAAAAAAAAAATGTAGTACGTAACCTAAAAATCGAATTCTAATGTCTTTTGCTCCAGCTTTCCCAAATAAAAATTATTGTTTTACACATAGATCTTATAATTTTTTTTTTATATATTTTTCAATACAAAACGCTGCAATTTGATTCCAAATTTTGTGTGGAGACCTGCCGTTGTTCTTTGCTTACTTTATATTGCTCGAGCGATTTTTCACAAAATTGAGTAATTAAATTGAGTATCTAAACTTTTCACAAAAATTGCCACTGTGCCATGAGTTTGAACACGAGCAAAAGATCCGAGTGTTTAAGATAAACATTGTTTTTGTAACTGAAGTCCAATAAAATTAATTTCAGAAGAAATACACAAGACCTAAGAGACAAACTCCCTTAATAAAAATAGTTATTATTAAAATAAAAATGTATGATAAAAATAAAATATACTTTAATTTTTTTTATTAAAATTTAACTTTCTTAATAGCTTCGTAATGGCGACTGCCGAATGCAGCTGCGACGTTCATAATCATGTAACACTATAAAATATGACATTTTATGAAATGGGGTATTTTTAATATGAATGCTTAGAAAGTTGAATGCGACAAGAACAGGTATCCTGACCTGCTTATACAATACATTGCCCAATCCATCCTTAAAAGCTATAACCATTTCCTACTACTGGGTTCCTACCATTGTGTTTTCTCCCATTGTATTTACTACTTTCCTTTCCTTTCAATAGACTCCCAAACCCATCTAATCACTAGATCGTTTGGTTGGAAGCAATGACTTTGGGTTGAACTCGTTATAGAAATAGCAGGTACTTTTTGAATGTTATACAAAAAGTACCTGGTAGCTGTGATTAGTAACTTACTATATTGTAAAATGTAAAAGATAATAATAATATTTCGGACATCTGACACAACGCAATCTAGTTTCAAACTAAGCAGAGCTTGTACTATGAAAACTAGATTGACCGACAGAATACTTATATACTTTTTTGTAAATACATACATATTATACATAGAAAACACCAAAACTCCGAAACAAATATTTGCAGTTCATACAAACATTTGGTCCGACCCGGGAATCGAACCGCATAGCAGTTGCGTACGCTACCACTGCATCACCGAAGCAGTCTGTTCAAGATCCGCCAAAAACTAACAGATACGAACATGGATTGAGATTTTTTTCTTCCTCAGATTTTACATCACTAATGCGCTCTCTAGTCCTTAACCAAGCACATTCATACCAAATAAATCTTACCAAATAAAAAAAAATATCAATGGCAAAATGACCACATACCGTTACGTTTCTAAAGCAAAGAAAAACAATAAAATAATATACTATCGGAGTAAAGAAAAATCCGAATTGTCATACTACTTTGTATAACTATGTATTTATTTAGCGCCACTAATTAACGCTTTTGTATGACAATCGATGGTCTCCTCATTTACAGCGCTTTATTGAAGTAAATTGAAAATAAAACATATCGAAAAAATTAGTTAAATCTAAAATCTTTAACAACAACACTAGCACCTGCGATGTGAGTTCGTTGGTCACTAATCGATAAACTGACAGTTCGACATAGTATTACGAGTTTATTATTTGTATCATATTAGCAACTGATAACTCATATAATATACTTTGATAACGACGTCACGGAACTATAATCTATTCGCGTTAAGAAAATAGTGACGCATCGATCAAGGCGCGCGCCCTGCCCAATCGGGTTCCAAGCTTTCGTACGGAATGATAATTTGTTGAAACCTGATTTGTAAGGGGGCGGGGCTAGATCATTGCGTCACTATTTTTGAAGTTTATTTCTTAAGAATCGATTTTCATATAAGATATAAAAAAATATAAAGAGTAAAATTTTGTGATCGAGTGACCTTGTTACGTTTTTTGTGCGCAACCTATCGTGCGCATCTTTTACATGTGTGTGTATAACTTGTATATTAGTGTGCAGCCGAATCGTTCTTAAGTAGTAAACTCCAGTCGTGAATCGGAGCTGACACACACACTTTTTTTTTTAAACGAAAGGAATATAGTTAGTGTTTGCAATCACGTGATAATAGTTCCTATGAAAGCCTTTTTAATATTTATTTTATAGATGTTTAAAAGGATAAAATAGATAGCGTTTTCTATAACAAATATTTGTGCTTAGTTTCTATTACGTACTAAGGTGATATACTACGGTTCGTAACTAAAACACAAGAACTACACCAAAAACACATGACAAACAGCTACCAGAAGAATTTATTGACTTGTTCGATTACCTGTGCCACAGTTTGTTCCCCGAGGGGCACGTCCTCAGTGCGGAGGGCGGCGCGACTCACGATGGAGGTCGGGTCTGAGTCCAGGATTACACTGGAATATGAGAAGTAAATATTAATATCATTCGTATTAAACCATACACAGTAAGTATTGCTAAAAAATACCTACATAAATAAATAAGGAATGCTGAGTAGAAAAGCGAAGGTAAACCTTTTTAGTCACTCCTGACTACATCGCGCTATTAAAATTCTTGGGCTGATTAATATAGACAAGATTTAACATCTTATCTATATTATCTTATCTATAAAAGTCAGATCTATTAATAAAATTAAATTTGTTAAGGTAGACAAAAATATAGAAAACAAAGCCCTATGGGGAATTAGCGCTTTCAATACGATAATACGATATATACGATAATATTAATATTGGCGTAAGGCAGAAAATAAAAGAAACAAGACAAAATCTTTTATGATGATTATGATGAAATGTTACTATTGTAATCGTTTCAGATCTATAAATATTTAAACATTTTTTATTTTACTCTTTATCATTTAGATTATTAATTAATCAAACCTGGACAAATGATTACAATTAACTTTGGATGCACCTTCTCAAACAGTTAACTTACCACGAAACATCTTTAGATATAATGTTATGGACAGGACATTAAATGTTAAGCTGTCACACACTTACCCTCCATCACAGATCTCATCGAAGGCCAACATGACAGAATCCAAGTTGTCAAACAGCACTCTCCTTTCTACATTTCTTCTTAACAGTATGCTGACAGACTCATACAATGCATTCAATACTGACTGGAGAATTAGCTGGAAAACGACAAACAACCAATTTACTAGGGCTTCTAAAGAAAACACTAGACATCACTATTTAAGTAAAAAAGTGAAAAAAATAAAAAGGATTCCCTGCAGTAACAACTGTATACATGTAATGGTCACTGCTCCACTCCTAAAGAGGGTAGAACAATATTACATAGGCTATCAATTTTATTTTATTGTAAGTCAAAAACGTAGATGCGGTACATTAAATAATAAGGTGTAACATGAAATCCAACTCAGAGTAGCTGACATATCTTTTTTTTTTGTTTTAAGAGACAACAAAGAATATATCCTGTGTCTCGGGGGACTTTACAAACATAAGAACACCCAGACTCAGAACAACAATTTGTGGATCACACAAAGGGTACGGCGCTAGTGCGCACGTGCCCGGTGACAAAAGCTGCCTAACGAATACAAACACGACGCCCTGTTTACAAGAAATCGTTATCGCTAACGAACCGTAACTATCAGTTGTTTCAGAGATGTAAACATTGTTTCACACATAGATTGTCAAATAATAATAATAATAATCTACCACATTCACACAACGCCATATAGTCCCAAACTAAGCAGAGCTTGTGCTATGGGTACTAGACAACTGATATAAATACATATATACTTTTTTTTTTGTAAATACATACATATTATACATAGAAACACCCAGACCAAATCAAACATTAAATGTTCATGCACACAAACGTTTGACTTGAGCGGGAATCGAACCCGCCACCTTTGGAATAGCAGTCCGTTACACAAACCACCACGCCATCCGGTCGTCAAATAACAAAAAATAACTGTGAAGAATGTATTATGCTTGCCTAGTCTGACGACTAACTGATTACCAGTAAGCGAGATTATCAAGAATGTTAACAACGTTGTATTTAAACAAGGGCATTGTTATATTAATGGCAAGAATAAGTCTTTGGTTGCGATAGCTGATCTGACTGATGATGTATATAAGTATAGAAGCCAAACTGTTTGTTGGCAGCTCCTGTAGTTACCGGTAGATTATGGCACAGAAGGCTAGCTCACATCAACAGTCAAGATATGAATAAAATAAAAAAAATTGCATTGTAGATGGCTTAAAAAACTAAGTGTTGTGACGGCAAGCAACTAAGACTACCTTTCTCTCATGTAGGTGAACGAAGTACAGAGACATGTCACCGAGTACATAGTGATTTTCGTGGTCCAATGTTAATTCACCGAAATAGTAATGAATATTCTTTGCTATTCATCGATGATTATATTAGGGTGACTTTTATTGATATAAATAATATAAATCAATGGTTCAATAGCAAAAAGGAAATAACACAAAGATTTTTCACACCAACAGTGGTTTAGAATTCTGTAGTAAAGAATTTGAGAACTATTTAAAGCAATCAGGTAGGAAAATGTTTTTTATATGATGTAAAAATGGACAAGAGATTTTGGGCTGAAAGGGCCAATACAGCAAATTTAAAAAAGAAATGATCTATAGTCTTAGGAATACCAAATATGCTATATGAACTGTGGCATAGAACGAAACCCGAACTAAGTCACTTTGTTTGGAAGCAAAGTAATGGTTCATACCCTAAAGGCAAAAGGCTTAAAGTGGGATAAGAAGGCTACACCACACATCTTAGTTGGTTATGCAGAGGATGTAAAAGGGTACAGATTGTACAACCTCACCAAGAAGACTATTATCACCAGCAGATCGTGATAGAAGATGCGACAGTTGGCAACACAGCTATTGATGAGGCTATCTGGATGCCAGGTCTAAAAACACCAGAGAGCAGTTTGGAGGAACCAGAGCAGGTAGTGCAAAAAAGCATCAGTTCAAGAGGAACCAGAGCCATATAAGAAACCATAGAGACTGAGGAAACAGCCTGAGATATATGGTTTCAGTAACATATGTGTATCCAGTACTGTTTTAGTGGAGGAGATCTCACTCACAGAAGCTCTTGAAGGACCAGAGGAGCAGTGGAGGCGTGCTGATGAGTTGCAGTTAAAAATCTAGGTGATGTGTCAATAGTGAAGTGTCTATGGGTGTTTAACAAAAAGTTAGATCTATACAATAATATGTGTTACTGGGCTCGTCTTGTAGTGAAAGGTTTTACACAAAAGCCGGGAGTGAAGGTTTTACACAAAAGCCGGGAGTGAATTATGCAGAAACTTTGGCACATGTAGTTCGTCATTCCACTCTGAGACTACTTTTTGCTCTTAGTGTTAAAATGGGAATGAGCATAACACATTGAGATATAACTACTGCCTTCCTGAAGGTTTTGCAAACAAAAGCAGGGAAAATTTATTAAAATTAAATGGGCTACTTATGGATTAAAGCTGTCATCTTTAACGTGGTATGAAAGAGTGAAATAATGGTGCTAATTCTGTGGTTCGAAAACTCTCTAAACTAAACTAAAAATCACAAAAAATTTGTTTAGTCCTGACAAACAACGTTCCCTATTCTGAAAACGTAATATTTGACAGGACAAATTTTTTTTAAGCGATTTTTAGTTTACAGAGATTTCGAACAACAGAATTAGCACCATTGTCTTTTTAAATTAGGTTTTAAAAACAGTTTGCAAAACCCAATGGTAGTTTTAAGATAATAATTGGTCTGTATATGGACATAAATAAATATGGAATCTTACCTACTGAGGAATCTGATGATCTTTTAACAAAAGGTTAGGTCAAGCACCAGGAATTTATGGAAATGCTTGGTATAATTAAAATGTAATTTTTTGAAGAATTTCTTGTTTATTTTGATGAGATACTAACACCGCGTGTTAGTATGATATTGTTTACATCAAAATAAGTTAAGATTTAAAATATGCAGTCATCTATTGTCACAAAATTGTAAACGTACTTGCCATTGAACTTTTTGAAATAAAATTGACAGTCAGTTTGTTGAGATCTAACGTGTTTTAATAAAAATTAATTTACTAATATGCATATATCTTAATAATTTAGATGTTACCTCATTCTCATGTGAACTGCCCATGACATAGAAGAAGAGGTCCACATTACTCTTATATACACAGGTCAGACCTTCAAGCATTATGATTTCAGCATTTGCTCTGAAATATAAAAAAAAAAATGGTTATTAAACATTTTATTTGTAGAAACCCTCATGTGTAACCTATATGTCGGACCTGAATTAACAAAACACAGTGTTTCATCACCGGTCTTGTGGGGGACTGCAAAGGCATTTTTTGTCAATCTGTTTGGTATGGGTAATCTCAAAATGGCAGGACTGATTTTGATAATATTTTACTAATAGATAGCTGTTTATATAAAGAGTAACTTAGGCTATTTCCTCAAAGAAGAACCCTATAAAAAATTTCCTGGTCCGGGAATGAAACCTGAAGCCTCATGGACGGTACATATTACACAAAGTGGCGGGTCCCAGCTAGTCAGACATATAAGTAAAGACACCGGGCCTAGCCTTTACCTAACCTTAGACAATTGCATTAATAAGGTTTATAAAAATGAGTATGTTTGTTTACCTGTGTGTTTTGTTAAACAAGTTCTTCTCGAATGCCTTTTGTTCCTTTGCAGTGGGTAGGACATTTTTGTCATAATATTTGGCTAGGATCCTGTTGCCGTCATTGTCCAGTATGCACATACCCTTCACAATGTACAGTGTTGGTTCCTGGAATTGACAAATTAATATTTTTAAAATAATTAAAATTCACATTGTGCCTTTTGCCTTTGTAGAGTGAAGACTGTGCTAATTTTAAGCAGGACATAGGGGGTTTCATCAACTACCCACTGCAGAATGGACTAGACGGAAAAGGGAATTTAAAATGGTAGGGACTATTTAAATTTTTATTTTCCGTCTAAAACTGTTTCTAAATACATACATATTTTAGATAAAATACACACACACTCTTCACAAAATTACAATAATTTAGAAGCATATAAAATGTAATAATTTTAATAGTATATATTTATGATAACACCCACTAGAAGCATGATCATATCCAATGATCATGTTCCTGGTAGGTGTTTTCATTCATTGGAGCATCAGATACCTCGTAAAGATTATAATAAAAAATCTTGTTTCTTGTACAGATTGACTGGTATCTTCTGAGTGATGTATCTTTATAAATTAATACTTTGAATGGGAATATACTAATTACTACATTATTTACTCTGAAACTGGTGAAATAACTTTCTAATAAGAAACCAGCAATAAGGTTAGGCTTTATTCAGCATGGTCTGGTCTGGTTTTAAGTGATTACAATGTACGAAATTTATGATTTCGTAAGGCCAGTTATTATCACCGGTTGTCAAAATACTTATTAAGCTAGAGTGTAGTGATGTAAGTTGTCTACGAAAGTAGGTATTCTTCAATAAAGTGAACATTTTAGCGGACACAAGTCGTTTTCGATGTTTCTCTCCTATAATCATAAAACTTTTACTACTTGTGGCTGAAGTAAGACAAAACTTACAAACAGTGCTCCTTCCATTGTTGTATGTACCATTATTAAGATAATGTAAACTTAATATAGTTATGTTTTCCTAAAACAAGCAGCGACAAAATATAATATGTTGACGTGTATCTGATTGACAACTATTTGTCACTGACAAATTCTTGACGTCTGCGGCGACATATCTAGAGATGAGCAGTTACTAATTACTATTAATGGTAAATTACTAAAAACTATTAAAACTGGAGCAATTAAGATAAGATATTTACCGATAGAGAAATATAATCTCTAAAAGTATTATTATTTTTTTAGACACATAGTTTTGTTAAACGTTCTAGTTTCTCAAAATTATTGAACATTATTCATTCCTCCATCTTCACATTTTTTATTTGTCAAGATCAAAAATAATGGTTTCCATTCCTTTTTCCTTGAATTTTAAATAAGAAACTTTTACACTTGGTTTTTAATCTTTAAATATGAGTTTATATCCAAATGAATACTTCAAAATTTCATGTCAAAGTAGGTGAACGATTCACTAAAATCACGATAGCCTTTTGAAATATTGAATTGTTCTCAAAACTAACCTGAAGTTTAATACTCTTAAATTTGTTAACTATACTAAAAGTTTGTTTAAAGATAAAGAAAACATAAGTTTTGATGATGAATGGTAGATTTTTATCTAAAGACAATATTTACGTACTCGATAAATCAGTCATTACTGTTAGTAGATTGTTGATGTAGCACCTCTAGACATCTTACGTGTTCCAGGTACTTTTAAGGTCATACTTCTAACATGAATTTACGAAACGAAAAGGTAGGTACTTGTTATTGTTATGATTCTTATTGTTATTTTACGAAATCGTAAATACCATTCAAACATCTTTTGCACTTTATTTGAGAATAAAACAAATATGGTTAAAATTATTTTTATTTATTTTGACCTGTGTGCGACTCTCACATACAAAGAAACAGAAACATACATCGCCAACTAGTAAAGGCACACTGAACTACAAAGTAACTCCTGAATGAGAATTGCTAACCCATGATATGAAGAATTTTCGCCGATTAGCATAGAATTAGATCATCAGAGAATCTGAAGTTGAAAATTCCCAAGCATACCACACAATTTAGTGATAAATCGTTCTCGATGCAGGCAGTTAGACTGTGGCACAACATACCCGAGGCAATCCGAAAAGCTAAATCGTTGCAATTATTCAAAAAACAAGTTACAAATTACTATTTGACATTGTTAGGGCTGTTGAAGGGATATTGACTGTGTGTTAATACTTGGTACGTCACAGGTTAAAAACGATTTATGTATTAACCTTTGCATGTATTTATTATTTGTATGGATTTATACGTGTTAGCAGTATGTATATTGTGAGGAGGAACAACACGAAGGAAGGATCCTCCGACCAGGCGAGGTGATCATGCCTGGCGGGCCGCGGCCCTACGTTGATGTTGGGAAATTGTTTATATGCTGATTTCTTCATATCGCGATACAGGATTAGGAATTCTCATTTAGTATTTACTCCGTAGTTCGGCGTGTCTTCGTTAGATGGCGCTGTAGTATATTTTTGTTTTTTTTCTTTGTATGTGGGAGTCGCCACGTCACTCCCCTCCAATACCGGAGGTCGATATCTTGATAAATCAGCTGTGTATGCACTGTTGTGGAGCGTGCCAGTGCCAGTAGTGAGTAGTTCCAATGACTCTCTCTGGACTCTGGACTTGGCAGTACGTGAAAAAGTGCATTGCGTTGTATGCTATCGTAGGCCTTGGTGTAATTGACAAATGGCAGATACGACGGTCTTTAGAAAATTAAAACACTAAAACTTAGAAAAACTTTACTAAGATTGGTTTAGGGAATGGAGGTGGTCAATAGTGGATGGATATAATAGAAATGATGGATAGGTGAAATCCAGTCTGCTCGGGGGGTGTGGACATCAAGTTTGCTAGCTATTCGGTTTTCTAAGATTTTAATGAAAGTTTTATATACATGAGATATTAAACTTATAGGACGGTAGTTGTTTAAATTAGCTTTATCACCTTTCATATGACGTAGAATTAATTATAGTAGAGTGAAGAGTTTCAAAATTTATGAGGTACTTCTTCGTTTTATTTTTCTTCGTATTATTGCAATATTTTCTTTTTTTCAGTCTACCTTTCTATCTCTTGCTGAATACAATAAAATTAAATGGAACAATAATAACGGTAGATGCCGTCATTGTTCTTTAAAAATGTACAAAAACAGATTAAATATCATGTAATAACTGGAATGCGTGAGGTATCATTCACTACTCTGATATCTATACCTATTTTAAAATTAAATTACACAATGGATTATAAATAGAGTACCTAATTGCTTGAGAGGACGCCCACGCCCGTATTATCAACCATCAATCAGTTTACAAGCAGAAGCGAAATAGATACTTTCTGAGCAGATTTATATTGAATTTGTAAAAAGTAGCCTATGTTACTCGCTGATAATGTAACTTAACATTGGTGAAATAATTTTAAAAATCGGTTTATTGGTTTAGGCGTGCAACAAACAAAGCAAACAAACCCACTTTCATATGTATAGTATAGGTAAGTATGGATTATATACATTCCATTCAAAAGCCAATTGATGTCCTAGAGCACCCTCCCCCCGTCCCTCCTCTAACAACGAGACAGACATAGACACGTAACTCTTTGAATTTTTAAATCTCAATTCGGTGTCTCATCCCGATACTTTCGGTCTTTGGTGTATTGGAGGATTTGGTGTGTTTGGGGATTGAAGAATGGATTGTCTCCAATCAAAAATGTTATTATCTCTTCATATAAACTTTCCTTGTGCTAATTCCTTTACCCGTCTTGTTTTGTCCTGTCTGAAAAGAAATTAGCCAAAATCCAAAATAAATAAATAAACATTGCGCCGACCCTAAATATTATTCGGTAAAAAATTAGGAAAACTTTGGCAGGAAAATGATGATGATGATTGATTCTCGATATTATTCCGTTGTATCGAAGCGAAAATTGTTTCAAAAATTTTTATTGACAATATTTCACTACTTGGTTGACAAATAGAGGACGTAAAGGTACTAACTCGTTGTCTTGATTCATTTAACATTTTAAATATATTTAAGGCGCAAGTCCGGCCGTATATGGAATACTGTTCTCATCTCTATACAGGGGCACATCAGTACCAGATTCTCCCTCTGGACCGCATCCAACGAAGAGTGACTCGAATCGTCGATAGCCCAAAGATCTCCGATCGGCTCGATCCCTTGGCGTTACGTAGAGATGTAGCTTCACTCTGCATTCTCTATCGCATATATCATGGAGAGTGCTCCGAGGAATTTTTCGGACTAATACCAGCCGCAAATTTTCGCCATCGTTCCACACGGCAAAATTTTCATCCTCATTACCTGGATAGTTGGCGCTCCACTACTGTGCGCTTTTCGAGACACTTTTTGCCCCGCACAACCAATCTGTGGAACAGGTTATCGTCTGCGGTATTTCCGGACCGATACGACCTTCAAAAATTCAAGAAAAGAGCGTACTCCTTCCTAAAAGGCCGGCAACGCGTTTGTGACTCCTGAGTTGCAAACGTTGATGGGCGGCGATAGTCACTTTTCATCAGGTGACCCGTCTGCTCGTCTGTCCCTCCAACATAAAAAAAAATACTTGTATTAGATAATTATGTCTTTATTCTACTCTCACTTCTTTTTTATTAATAACTTGATTAATAAAATTATGATTGTCATTTCTAAGAAGTAAGTTTCCTTATAACATTTTAGTAAATCAATCTTTTTAACATACGTACAAAAATAGAATGGTAATTACATTATTTTCGCGCCACAATTTGACAGATGTTGAAAATGGCCACCGGGAATAGACACGATAGATCTTTGATGTCACCGAATCAAATTACAAAAGTAAAATTTCCGCTAGACGTGTTAGAAGTTACGGGATAAGTTAGGTCGTTTATTTTTAAATGTTTACCTACCACGCTGTAACACGGGGAGTTGGGTTCTATAGTGATTTAGTAAAGGATGTAATAATGGGCTAGCTTATAAAGACTGTTTTAGTTTAAATCATCTTAAAGAGCTTCTTGAACTATGTCCTTTTATGTGAGGATGAACATGTCTCGCCGACTTAACGTCATCCGCCGTGCAAATCATGGCTAGATATACTCGTATGTATAATATGTGGTGCCATACAAATCAAAATTTTTCGTTGGTAGTTCGTATTTCATGAATTTAATTTCCAATACTTATCGATATCGATGCATGCTTAAAGTCGCTCGACAAGACTAGCGCGAGAATTTGTTAAACGGTGTAAAAGTACGCTAATACTCGTATTATTCAAATTAACTGATCATCAAAGCTAAACCCCCATCGGGTGGAATACACAGCCCCACGGTCACGGATGCGGAGGTAGGGGTAATCTACGGATCCGTCCCAAGAACCAGAAACGATAAATGCCGGAAGGTTGGCCCTAGGCCTCGATCCCATGTGGGACCCCCTTAAGGAGGTGTTTGACGCTAGCTTGGCATCCCGATGTTCCACTCAAGGAAGCAGAAGAGTGAGAAGTCGGTCTTGTAAACGAAGCCGGGACAGCCTGGCAACAGGCCCATCATGTTGCTGGACGAGCTTCTTTTTTATTGGCCCCGTCGTGGTCCTCGTACTGGTTCAGTACTTGGTACATGCTTCTTAGGAGTGATTGCGCACCTGTAAAAGCTCTTGGGCGTTGTGGGCAACTTCCTTACACTTTATGGTAATGTGCGGGCGGCTGCTCCCCCCGCGTTGATACTTCTTCTGAATAAATGGTTGATCATATATATTATTATTATTTTAGGGTTGTACAGATCATAAGAAATGTGGCAATTATTATTTTATTTCTTTTGAGACACGCAGACGAAATTGCGTGAGTCAGCTAGTATTTGATAAATTGAATGTCGTAAGAGCACTGTAAAGAGAAGGAAAACTTGAAACAAACCCTATATCAACACGTCTGCCCAGCGTAGTATAGTAGGCCAAAACCTCCTTTCTAAGGAG